TGTATTTAAATGTGTAATGCTACTTAACAATGTAAGAATGACTACTTAGATGTCTGTTACTGTCCTTAAAATGCCAAAGCAATTGTTTGAAAGAATACACATTCGGTTTCCTGYTTTTAATACTAACATAAAAGATGAAGACAAGCAAAAGGACTCTGTCATTTAGGGGTCTCCTAGATGTCCTGTTTAAATTACCTAGTTCCTTCTTAAAGACTAAGGACCTTAGAGAATAATTCAGTGTGTGCTCCTATTCTCAAAGCCGCACTGGTGTTGGTCAATTCGGGGAGTGGGGGACGTGGAGTGGGTGGGATGGGGCATCAGGAGGGACTGGCCCGTGGTCCCTGCAGAAGTGAAAGATGTGGCAAACTCACACAAGTCCTTATGCCAAATTTGTTACAGCACGRAGGATTTTCAGTGCAGTGTGGTAAAACCTGAAATAAGGAGCCAGCTTAGCTGTCACCACTGGGGGCCACTGCTACTTAGCAAGAGAGAAGGAAAAGCAAGCCTCTGCGAGGCCTGGAAGCTGGACAATCTCCTGGACTGGAGAGAGGCAAGACACTGACCCGGTGTGGAGTCACTGTTAGGAGATGGGAATAGCCGGGAAAGATATACACAGGGAACTGAAATCTCGTGACAATCAACACACAACTTCTGAAAAACTGTCAACATCACTTGATGGAAGAAGTGGCACCCACCACTCTCTTTTCACAGTGGTATATCCAGTCCTGTGCTGATTCACATATCTTAGGGAAGGGCTTGCACATCACAAATAATTGGGATCCCTTACAAATCAAACCTGCTCAAAAGTGGGTCATCATCATCATTGTCTTCTATGAACAGAAACCACTTTTCTTGCTAAGGAGAACAGACAACATGGAATAGGTAAAAAATGTAAAAATGTCAGGTGGCAAAAACTTTTTGAGGAGTAATTAGAGAGCAATACAAAATGGAAAAGGAGATAATGGACAAAGGAATTGCATACAAAAGAGAAGTAAATAGCTTTTCCTTGAGTCTTGAGATGTATTTTTTTTCTCAATACTCCTATTTTTTGTAAGTACTTATTGCTGGAAGTGTGGATTCTGGCCTATATGCAATAGGCTTTACAAGGGTTTCTCCTAAGAATCAAGAAACTCAAAAGGAAATACTTCTGATTTCAAACATTATCCATATGTATTATGTTATTTACTGCTAAACTGACCCTTCTGAAAACCTTTTATACAAAACACATTCACCATTTAAACGGAAACTGAGGCCTGACTTTTCCTGTCTCCTATTATAAGAAGACATGACTCACAGACTTCAAATGGGCTAGTGTTCAAATACTTTAAAAGTGACAAGGGCCTCACACCTCACAACCATGCATCAGACTGATATTTTGGAGAGGAGCAGCTACCTGTCACATACACCAAGTGCTGCTGGTTTAGACAGCAGCAGGTATTGTCTCTTCTTTTTGGTCTGAGCTGTCATGACATGAAGGAATGACATCCAAGYGCCAAGGGAATCTAATCCTTTTGAAAAATAAACACACACACACACAGATGAGAAAGGGAAAACAGGGCAAAGAGGGTATCTTACCCCCAGAACTGATGAACAAACTGATGTAATTGCTCCTAAGAAATACTGAATGTTTTCCCCAAACACTTTTAGTATGTCTCTAGCACTAAACTAATGCATTGTGCTGTATCCATACAAATCTCTGTTTGCAGGCCAGCCTGGAGAAGCACATCAAAGGCAAATGATAAGAAAAGCAGGTGTGGGTCACTGAAGGGTGTTCCTGGCCCCATCCCCCCTGGGAGAGATCTGGCACTGGTACTGCTATTGTACATTGTTAATTAAATCATTCTAATAAATTCATTCAAAGTGTAAATTAGGAAGGAAAGAAGATAAATTACACTAATATATTTAACCCCATGCTGTTTATTTAGCAGTTGAACAAAATAATGTGGTTAAAAAGAGTCTAACAAGGCAAAAGCCCAAGACACAGCTGTTTAATAGCATTAAAAATGAGATCTCAGACTGTGCTGCAGGCACATACTGCCTGTTTGCATTTAAAAGGCTTGCCAAGATAGCTGTACTGGCAAACCTTGCTAGTTTAGGTGCAGCTGATACTAAAAAAAAMCAAAACAAAATATGTATTTCCATTGCCCAGATGAAATAACCTGCRCTGGTAAATGGATTATTTTACCAGTACAGCTCTGCCACTGTCAGAACTGTTGCTGGTGCTGGTAGGGTAATCTGGGAGATCTTTTACCTACACAGGTATGCCTGCAAAACATTTAAGTGTCAAGAAAGCCATGTGATAAAGTTTGCTATACATTCAAAGTTTCAAGAACTTGTCTCAACGCAGGAGTTAAACCAATTTAAATAAAGTACAAGGTGAAATAATTTAGTTAAAACAGCAGTGTTCTCTGCATAGCAYGCAAGCTGGATCTGAGTTGAACATTTTCCTTATCCCAATGTTTTCAGAGTGAGATGTGGCACTTAATTCTAGAGATTAAAATGAAAATATTGAGGGGTTTATATGCTTTTTGTATTTCAAGGCTACACTTTCATTCCACATATTCATTCTTTCAGACTAATTAAAAACAAACAAATGAACAAACAAACAAACAAAACCAACCATAAGAGATTATCAATTTTACATGATTCTAGAAGTTGAGGCTTTGAGAAAAGGGCCAATTATCCTGTGATTTTTGATAAAATCGTGATATTTAGCAACAGTGCAAAGATCCTRTCTATCCTGGCATAAGAATACCAGGAGAAACATGTTTCAACTAGTTCAGCGGGCATGTTAAACTATGTCCTGGAATAGGCTAGGCCAGCTTTGTTTTCAGMAATGTCAAAATACAGATTGGCCCATCTACAAAACTGGCTTAACCAGAACAGTGCTTAACTGTGATCAGACTTAGTTCTCAGACCAATATAAACCAGGCCAAAGATTTGCGTTGGACCAAGCTAATTTCTTGAGTGTTTTTTCCATGCTAGCAAAACAAGCATTCTTAACTAAAATGTGCAATAAGCTGTATTCAAAGTATCTACTTCTAACTCCTGTGCAGAAACAAGCAGAAACACTTYGAGTGTTTTGTCACTTAAGTATAAAAAAGAGCTTATGTGAGCTAATTCAAGAGACCAACTGTTGTGGTTTGTAAGCATGGACTATGGAGTTCCTTTTTCTTTTCATTACCCCTCTGCTCGCACCAGTACCACTGCTTTATACACACAGAAGGATCTGYCTGGCTCTGTACTTGTTTCCCCAACAGATGACTTACAGCTTCATCCAATCATTCTGCCCTGATTAAATTCAACAGGTTCCTCATTTCATAGAGGAAAAGGAAGATCAGTATTTCATCTGGTCACTCGCTTACAGGATTATTGTCCCATTTTGTTCATGCAGGGAACTGCCCAAATCTGCATGCTGTGGGCATCCATGTAAGCCCTGTCTGCTGTCCTCTCTGTGGATCTCGTTCTTCATTGACCATTCCTTATAGCTATAGTTCAGATGTTGCTAAGCAACACATAGGTAACTATTCTATAATTTTGGTTTATCATTTTTAGTGATAGCTCTGCCTGTTCAAAGTTTGTCCTGACACTGTATGAAGTAATGTGTCCCTGTGTTTTTAGTTGCATAGAATGAGATAAACAGACCTTCTGACACCAGATTATGGAAGATTCACCATAACGGAGTGGATTTGGGTGGAATCGCTGCAGGCTTAGTTGGGGGGAAGTGTGGGAAAATAGGATCAAGGCATTTTATGGTTAAGTTATGATGAAAGGAAAAACCTGGACTCATAACATGGACAATACAATGTGGAACAAAGGTTGAACATTCACAGTCTAATCCAAAATCCTCTATAGATACATGACTCAAGGGAACACTGGTGTCCATGAATACCTGTTGTGCAAGGTTGTTTATAATTTACAACAGCTTCTCACACCTAGACAACTTTGAAACATACTTTAGTACCTACAGATGCGCAACATTTTTAGACCATGCATCCTGCAATACTTCATGCTGYAAAAAAGCAAAAGGAATAATCTGTGAAACAAATTACTCTTTCATCTGCTCCCTGTTCAGCCATGCTCTCCAGCCTTGCAGATGCCCACAGGTTGTCTAGAATTACAGATGTGTCCTGCTGTACATTAAGTGTGTGCTTATCTGCAGACTCTGGAGTCCAGCAACACGAATATAAATAACCCTCTGCATGTTAGCAAATTGCTTGCAGGGCTTTTTTTTTCCCTTCCACGGAAGTTCGGGTGACATTCCATAATGAGGAATGAGCAAATTCTCTAAATTATAATATTCARCAGGAAGCTTCCTGCTGGTGTAACTGTTCTTATCTTGCTTAAAGCCTCTTTAGACTAATACCACTGCTCTGAGTGGTATTAGCAAATAGCAAATTAGCAATACGTGCGCTGTTTAGTATTGGTATCTTCTGTTCTCCTTCAGAGCCACACAATTATGTAAACACTGTTGTTATGTCTAGAAGATGTTTATTSTTGAAATCGGCCTTTTGCACAGATGCGTTTTTTACATACTTCGTTAATTGGGAAATAATTAAACCCAGGCTTCGCTTTGTGCCGCGGGAGCGCTCCCCAGGACAGCTTTGGGGCGGCAGCTCAGTAAAGTCGCCCCGAGAGGGCACCGCACTCAGCGCCGCGATGCCTGCGCTCCTGCGCGCCCTCCCGGCCGCTCCCAGGGCGCTCAGGAGGGCTTTCCCACCGTCTGCTTTGCTCAACCTTCGCGGGCACTGGGACACGCCATGAGGACCGGGACCCCTCCTGCCAGCGCGGCTCTCCTCATCCCGCGCAGCGATTTCGGTGTGTGCGCAGCGGGGCGCACCGTGTTCACCCCGTGCGCGGTGCAGGAGCTCGTACAGCGAGTGGGTGCTCGGCCGGCTCCCCACGCCGCGCCGGCCGGGTGCGGAGCAGGGCAGGCAGGGCAGGCAGGGCAGGCCGTCCCACAGCCCCCGTCCGGGCCGAGGCGAGCGCCGTGATGTACCATGCCTGCCGCCGGCCGGGACAGCGACTGCGAGCGCGCTGCCCTCGTCCTGCCGTCCCTCCCCCGCCTGTCACTCACGGGCTTTGCATAAACGCTCCCCCCGCCCCCAGCCCATATACCCCTTCTCCGCTCCGCTGCCGAGCCAGAGCTGCGGCCGGCGTGCCAGCAGTAGCAGCAGCCCCTTCTTCCCTTCCTTCCGTCCCTCTTCCCAACCTCCCGCCTCCTTCCGCGACCCGCCTCCCGCCAGCGGCRCCAGCTCCGCCCGGCGCTGCCGCTCGCCAGCCGCGTCTCCGCGGCACCGTCGAGCCGGCACAGCCGAGCTCCTCTCCCATGCGCGGYGCTGCGCCGCCCAGGCACCTCCGCGCTCGCCCGGGAGCCGCTCCGGTAAGTTGGTGCCACCGACCCGGTGCCGCGGAGGGGAGGCGGGCGGGAAGCGGCGGAGCAGAGYTGGGGGCACAGCGGCTGCCGCGCTGCCTGCGGTGCTTCTCCGGCTGGAGCCGGGCTGCCGTGTTTGTCCCCGCACAGGCAGAGCSCGGCTCTCCTCCGCCCTGTCCGGAGCGCCAGGGACCAGCGGGGCACTGGGCAGCGGGTGGGTAGAATCCGCGGTGCTCGCTGTCTCTGGTACGCGGCTGCCCTCGGAAAGAGTCGGCTCCTGTTAGGAGCGGTGCTAGCCTCCCTGGTGGGCTTCAGCCTCCTGCCTGGGGTCCCGGGCGGTCCGGAGCATCCCTGAGCGGCTGAGGCAGGGCAGGGAATGGGCGAGCGCYGCTGGTTGCGGCGGTGCTCTCCCTGCCGGTATACAGAAACTTTTGCACGTGGTTATTGATGCATAAAGGAAACCAAATTTTTASTTCTCGTACTGATTTTTGTATCAGGCTGGGAAGAAGCTTTGCAAGCTTCTTTTCAGAGGCTGAGTTATTTAGGCGCTGTGATGGAGCGAACTGAGGGGAATGAAGAGTTGCCTTTCTTTGTCTGCATGTGGTGAGCTGTAGTGCATTCCTAGCAGGAGCAGCGTGATCTGCTTTCTGTCTCACTGCAGGTCCTAGGCAGCCACTGAGTTTGAAGACTTAAGGCAGGGTCGCGGTTTGCCTCTACCAAGCTGATAGAATCGGTGAAGATTTAGCAACTGAAAGTGGTGTTAGTTTCATCGATGGGATGATTAGCAGACTTCCTCTCTTTCAGCTGTTTGACTGTTTCCAAAGAAAAACAGCAACCAACCTTTGTGTAATTGCACAGTCGTATTAAAATGTGTCAGTAATTTGAAAATACTTGATTTTTCATTTGATTTAGACTGAGACATGCATGCTGTAGAACTGTTAAGTAGGACAACGAGCCTGTTGTTTAAAGTAGTGTTTACTGCTGGTCTGCTGTGACAAGTAGGCTGTTGAAGTGTAATTATAAATCAAAGTCTTGGTTGAACCTCTGTTCRTAGATAAAATCTATATCTGTAATTTACTGACCACTTCTTGCCTTTTACATACAAATACTATTTCCAAGGAAAAAAATGCCTGAAGGGACTTGGCTAATATTATTCAAGATGAACATTTGATCACTGACTGTAGATTACCTCTGCTGAAGTATTTGAGGCTTGCATAATTTCCAGTACCAAACGGAGAAATTGGAGGTGTCATTTTTACTTTTTAATATTCTGGTAAGTTTCTGTATTGACCTAATTGCCAGAGATTCAGAGATTACAGAAATACTGCCTCTTAGTGAATGATGATAATTGCTTGTAAGGGTGTTCAACTAGTCTAAGTACGAACTCATCTCAGTCCCACAGTGGAGGAAAAAGATACATATAGATATGTATCTTTGTTCTGTTTGGGGAAATATGTTAGCTTATCTTAAATGTGAATTGGCATATTTTGAATTCCTCGCAGCAGATGACATTGTGATGATAAAGGCAATCTTACAGCAACAGTTCAAGACCAGCATATGTGAAATCTATTTCTCATCAAGACTCTTAAGTTTTCTATTATAATGGGATAATGCTGGGTGCCTTATTCAGTAGCTGTTTGAGAGTGGTTCTTATGCAAATTTTTAATTTTATAATTTTTTTTACAGTGGTATTTGTTGCTATGGCTGTGGGTGGGCTTAGGTAACAGGCAGTGATCTGTTCCTCCCCTCTGCATGTGGTCTGTAGTTCACTGGCTTCCAATGTATGCATAACTGCAGGGTGGGTTTTTTATGTTTGCCTCTRTTTTGTTGTGGTTAAGGGCTCATTCTGAATGATGCTGAACAAGTGGTGCTCATGGGAATACACAGCCTGGTGAAAGACCTAAATGCTTGTAGTTGCAGCCTCTGATGTGAGCTTTACCTGCCCTGTTTCTGAACCCTGGGAGCATGATGAAAGAAAGTTTTCAGTATACTTTGAATTCCCCCAGTATGTGGGGGGAAAGAAGAGGACCTGTGTTTTCATGGAGATCCTGCATGSCTAGACTGTGATGTCTACATTCTGTTAATTGGAATGGAGAGTGGGGGGCAATGAGCATATTCAGGTGTTGGTTATTCTGTTGTCTCTGAGCAGTTCGGTGTTCAGCTCCCATCCTGCTCCCTGGTGAGGAACCTTGAAGGAATAAGTCCTCAGTGTGAGGAAAACCCACCTGTAGAGATCCAGTGAATACCTTGCATTGCATCATAATAGCATTTAAAGTGACTGAAAAAACTGACAGCAAAGTGTTCAGCTTCTTCCTACTGGTGTCTTCAAACAGCKTGTATATTAGTATTTCAGGCCATGACCTTTCTGTAGTCCTTCAGTTCCAGGAGATTTCAACCATAATTTTGGCTATAGGTTGAAGGAGTTATTTTAGGCTGAGATAAGTCCTCAGGATCCTTGAAAGCGTTCTCTGTATTTTTTTGCCAAACAACACAATTTGGTTAAAGGTAGTTTAATTTTCCTTATAAAAGAGTTACTCTTTTGAAGACATAGGAGCGGCCTTATGTTGTTCCGTGCTAAGGGTTAGCGCACTGGTAAGATACCTTTCTAAACTTTTGCATGGTAGAGTGAGACAGATACTCTGGTGTGTAGAGCTCCTCTCTGTTTTGGAGGACTTTGAATTGAGCTCCTGTGTTGGGCTGTGTTACTTGCTCTTTTCAATCCCAGTTAAGTTTCATCAGGCAAGTTTTCTTTCAGATTAAAGGAAATGGGCTATGGTATTTTTACAGTAAGGTGTCTCTTTATTCCTTACCTTAAATTTGATTTAGGGACTTTTTTATGGTAACTGAAGGCAAAGTTGTATCACAGACTTGCTGTTTAATATGGCAAATCARTTAGTTTGCACAGATAGTGAGGAGGATGGTACTGGCTGTGCTGCAGTTAATCAGCAGGTGTTGCATATTCCATATACACAGATTGCTTGTTCTGAAATGGAGTCTGCTGTCCAAATTGAACATGTGGTTTTGATTTTGTTGATGTTTCTGGTCATATGAATCTAGAAAAATACATGTATTAAAAGTGCTATTTTCGAGGCTTGTAAAGCTCTTGTATTATCTTGAAGCATGAAATATGGGAATCAAATGATACAGTTTTGTACTCCTTAAAGATACTCAAGTATATGAAAATGTCTATGTGAGAGTAAAGTATATCCATAACATTATTTATAACATTAAAAACCTTCACTAGTGGCCCCAGGTTATGCTCTTAGGGCATTGCATGCTTTCCAGGTAGAACTTGTGGCCAGTTATTTATTTGAAAGTGCAGTAAAAGGTATCCTGCACATGCAAATACTATAGTAACTAGGCAAGTTTGGTTCTCGGCTTTCTCTGAGTTTTCACTGCAGTTTGGAGAGACAGAAGTGAGATTATTACAGTAGTGGTCACAGCCACAGTTTGTACTGAATTCCGTGTGTTTCAGCTCCTACTATTTACACTGTGGCTTTTTGGCCGTTAACTTTACATGACTGCCAGTATCCTTCCTTTTCCTTATGCTCCATACTCTTTTGGCTTGACTCTTAGTTAAATCTGGAAACCTGCTGCTGGAATCATACACAGACCTGCATATCATGGCAGGTAACAGTAACACCTCTAAACAGGATCTGAGCAATGTTTTGTTTGTTAGGAATAGGACAGGATAGGGTATGGCTTCTATTTTCTGCCTCCTCAAAACTTCTGAATGAACTAATGGCTTAAAGTTTGAGGACTTGACTCTCCAGGTGCCTTCAGAGGCAGTATATCAATGACTTCAGCTGGTAGTCAAAACATGTTTTTCTGCTGACTCTGCCTATGTATATGCTGTAATCACCGTAGCATGCAGCCACTGAATTCTGTGGAATACAGGTGGAATCTGCAGAAATTATTAGTCATATTTTTTTACAGTTACACAAGTCTAAATGTATGGTTGATACTAGGGTTTAATTTAAAAGTTCATTTGTTTTTTTTCTTTTTGTGCCGTTGCATATTGAATCACTATATACCAAARGGAAGCTTCCTAATGGGATTAGTAGGTTTTTGTTCCCTATGCAGCTTTTGACATTCCTTAGGTATTCTGTCTGGTAGCTCTTCCTGCTATGATTCAGTACAGGAGAATGTTTCAAGCGTGTGCATGTGTATGTATGTAATGAATCAGCTGGTCTAGGTTGGGGAAGGGTGAGAAAATCAGTCCTGGTTCCTTTTCTTTCTCCAACTTGCTTACTTACTGCTATGAAAGTTGGAGATCAGGTTTCCCAAGATAAACCTGCTCTTGGGCAACAAATTTAAACTATGTAATTTATGAATCTCAGCTTACAAAGAAATAAACACATGCCAAAGGTAGATGTAATTCTCTGTTCACTCAGCTGTAAATTAAGGCTTTTTCTCCCCATCCTATGGTGAATAATGGACACACTTTTTGATATGGAAAAATGATAATGAATTTGAGTTTCATTTGCATTAAATTTTTTCTCTTTTTATAGGTGTGAAAGAAAATGTCGGTCAGCATGCATGAAAATCGCAAGTCTAGGGCCAGTACTGGCTCCATAAACATATACCTGTTCCACAAGTCATCCTATGCTGATAGTGTCCTTACTCACCTGAACCTTCTGCGTCAGCAGCGTCTCTTCACAGATGTACTTCTCCATGCTGGAAACAGGTCGTTCCCCTGCCACAGAGCAGTTCTAGCTGCTTGCAGCCGCTATTTTGAAGCAATGTTCAGCGGAGGACTGAAAGAGAGCCAGGACAGCGAAGTCAACTTTCACAATTCTATTCACCCAGAAGTCCTGGAGCTTCTTCTGGACTATGCATATTCCTCCAGAGTTATCATCAATGAGGARAACGCAGAGTCACTGCTGGAGGCTGGTGACATGCTGGAGTTTCAGGACATTCGGGATGCTTGTGCAGAATTTCTGGAGAAAAACCTTCACCCCACCAACTGCCTTGGTATGCTGCTGCTGTCGGATGCTCATCAGTGTACCAAGCTGTATGAACTCTCCTGGAGGATGTGCCTTAGCAACTTCCAGAGTATCAGTAAAAGCGAAGACTTCCTCCAGCTGCCAAAAGACATGGTGGTGCAGCTCCTTTCCAGTGAAGAATTAGAAACTGAAGACGAAAGGCTGGTGTATGAATCAGCTATCAACTGGGTCAACTATGACCTGAGTAAGCGTCACTGTTACCTGCCAGAGCTACTGCAGACGGTGAGACTCGCCCTCCTGCCAGCTATATATCTTATGGAGAATGTGGCCATGGAAGAGCTTATCACCAAGCAAAGGAAAAGCAAGGAGATCATAGAAGAATCAATCAGATGCAAGTTGAAGATCTTACAGAATGATGGAGTGGTCACCAGCTTGTGTGCCAGACCCCGAAAAACTGGCCATTCACTTTTTCTTTTGGGTGGCCAAACATTTATGTGTGACAAGCTGTACTTGGTGGATCAAAAGGCAAAGGAGATCATTCCAAAGGCTGACATTCCAAGCCCACGGAAAGAGTTCAGTGCTTGTGCCATAGGTTGCAAAGTATATATCACTGGGGGACGAGGATCAGAAAATGGAGTCTCCAAGGATGTGTGGGTGTATGACACCCTTCACGAGGAGTGGTCAAAGGCTGCTCCCATGCTGGTAGCAAGGTTTGGCCATGGCTCTGCTGAACTTAAGCACTGTTTGTACGTTGTGGGCGGACACACTGCAGCAACTGGTTGCCTTCCAGCTTCCCCTTCTGTATCCTTAAAGCAAGTAGAGCAGTATGACCCTGTGACCAACAAATGGACCATGGTTGCCCCGCTGCGAGAGGGAGTAAGCAACGCAGCAGTGGTCAGTGCAAAGCTGAAGCTGTTTGCTTTTGGCGGTACCAGCGTTAGCCATGACAAGCTGCCCAAGGTTCAGTGCTATGATCAGTGTGAGAACAGATGGACAGTACCGGCCACCTGCCCCCAGCCCTGGCGCTACACGGCTGCAGCTGTTCTGGGGAGCCAGATTTTTATTATGGGTGGAGATACCGAATTCTCTGCATGCTCTGCTTATAAATTCAACAGTGAGGCATACCAGTGGACTAAGGTGGGAGATGTGACGGCGAAGCGAATGAGCTGCCATGCAGTGGCATCTGGAAACAAATTGTATGTGGTTGGAGGCTACTTTGGCATTCAGAGGTGCAAAACATTGGACTGCTACGATCCTACATTAGATGTATGGAACAGCATAACCACTGTGCCCTATTCATTAATTCCCACAGCATTTGTCAGCACATGGAAGCACCTCCCCTCCTAATTGTGTATATATTGGCAATTACGAGTTATCAGGTAAGAAATAACACCTTTGAATTTCACTGTAATAATGCTTTTCACAAAGCTTTTTAGCAGCACCTCTGAGGAGGGGTGAGTATGTTTGGTGCAGTTTTACATCTGGAGCGCCTGAGACACGTACGTTCACGAGCTGCTGTAAGCCAGGCACCACGTCTGGGACAAAGCCAGATGCTGGAAGTAGTTTGCCAAATATTTTGCGCCCCCTTCTTTTACAAGGCATTTTCCTGCATGATTTAGATGTAAAGGACAGAGCAAAGATAACTTTTTTTCAACTTGTGGGAAAATGCAGATCGTCTTTTGGAGRTTGACTCTTGCTCTGCTTTTAAGTACTAAATTCATGCTAAAAAAAGGCTCCAATGCCAGTTTGCTGATGACTGACACTAGGTCACTCTGCATCCAGTAATAGTACCCAAAAAAGATACAGTAAGTTCTGATCTGAAGCCTGACAGTGAATTCACTTGAATTTCCATGCAGACAGCCTTTATGGAAAGTTGCTGTCATATGAGAGGTCTTCTACAGGGAGTTCAGGTCTAATTTTCAGTCTTCCACCAGCATGATTGTATCTGTGTGGACTTAAGTTGCATTTTCTCCATTGTTACTCTTTAAAATACTGATTTTTCAAAATACTTGTGGTTATATATGTTGAACTGGATATAGTGTAAGGAAGATGTGTAATTAATATTGCTGCCTGAAATAATTACTAGTCTATAGCACACACTGTTCCAAAACAAGTTAATTATACATAATGGGCCAAGCTCTTACCAGATGCAACTTCAGCATTGTATCTTCTCACAAGCAAGTCTGAATTTGGTCTTGCTTGGTTGATTGTTGTGCATTTCTTATTTTTGGGAGAATATTTTCCATATTAATCTGTGTGTTTTGCAACAAACCTGGCAGACTCCCATTTGCATTGTGTTGCTTTTATTCCCCACATCCCCTTTGTGGCTTTAGTACAGAATCAGTTGTTGCCAAATAAATAAATACAGTGATGTGCTTGATCCTAAATAATCAACGTTCTGTTAATGATAGTTTCTTTTTGGATTTGAACAGTGTATATTTTACCCATGAAGTAAGTTATAACAAAAAGGCAAATCAATACAATTGCAGTAATTAAACATGCTATGTGTGTGCCTCTGGGCTACCTAAAAGTTCAGACTGACAGAGGTTCTCCAGAATATAGGAAGAACAACTTGTGTGTAAAGACTTCTCTGGTTTCTTCTGTTTGGGACAGATGGCTGGGGAGGTTTCTTTGGTGTTATTTTGCAGCAGTTAGAYGTTTTCTGTGATTGTTGATGTGAATACAAAACCCAGAGGTCTTTGAAGCAGTGTAGATAGTGCAGAGAGTTGCTCCTGTAGTTGCCTTTCAGTTGTTTGGGAGCTTTGCGTGAAGAGGACAGGGTTGGGCCCACGCAAAACCGCAGCTCAGCTTTGAAATCTACTGTGAAAATGGGCTGTGTTGTGCCATCAGCTGCTCTTCTCTCAGGTGTTTGTTTGCCTTGAAAACACTAACCTGTTCTCCGTCCCCTCTCCTCGCTTTGTTTTTCCCAGACTTCCCTTGGGAAAGCAGGGCACACCCCAGAGACTCACCAGATCCTGGTTACTGGCAGTAATTGCCCCCCAACAGCAAATGGAAGCTCTCATTTCTGTGTGTCAGCTTCCTCCCTAAGTGGGAACTACATCTCGATATCTTCAGTTAATTTGTATTATTACTGACATTATGTGGTTCTCAGTGTTATCAGAACAGCAGTATTGAATGCCCGGACTCAGGTCTGTGCCAAGAAAAATATTGACTTATTCTTCTGAGTCTGACTTAATTGTTCTGGAGTTTACAGTACATGAGGGAGTGTTTTATTTTGAGAAAGAGTTCTCAGACTATAACGGTGCACAAAGCTTTCCTTTGCAGTATCTTGTTAAAAGCCATTATTTTGGCTTCACTAACACACAAGATAACTGGCTTAACTAGCACACAAGATAAWCTGCCTGAGTGTAGCCACAGACTGAAATTTCTCCAATGCTGTGTGCTCATCCAGCAAGTAGGTTGTTTTTTTTCCTACTGACTCCTGCTGCTTTGTCAGTGGGCGGGAGGGACAAAAAGGAAATTACTTCTGATTACTCTGTTTTCATGGCTCTGTGTGGCCYCAGTCTGACAGCTTTTAGGAAGACTTCAGTCTGCTTTGTTCATCAAATTTGGGAGTTTCAAATCRGGTTTTTTCCCTTCTGTTTTGAAATTGTTTAAAGCTCATCCCATGAGAAGGGGTGATGTTTTGACTTAAGTGTTGATAGTCTGTTTTGATGGGAAGCATGTCACACTATGCTGAAAAATGCCTAGAAAAGACCRATCAGCTCTATGGGTGGGCACTTTTTTTAGACATAAAAAATAGCCCACACTTGCAAAAACACGATGGACTCTTATGTAGGCTGGGTTATTTCCTGTGACTGTTCCCTGTTGTTCTTAGGCATCATAGCCTGAGAGAGAYGTGGTGTGTTCAAAGGCTCTGTGAGTGCACTGGAGCTCATTTGCATTGTAATGAAGTAGGATTTGCCTTCTAAAATTCTAGCAGTGCTGTCAGAAATTACTGTGTTGAACTGATGATGGTTTGGAARCTGGCAGTTTGATACAGTCTCACAGTGAAAAAGCAAAGCACAATCTCAGTATCCAAAGGTTRAGTTTCTCATTGAATAATCAGTTTTATAAAGCACTCTAGGATGGATTTGTTGATGCATAGTCTATTGCTGTGTGAAAAGAAATGAGGCAGAATTCTGTTCTAAGGAATAGATGTATTTTAAGTAAGGGAATTCTGTGGCGCTTTCTTTATTGTAAGTAAATTCACTTCAGGATTGGTTAATGTGAATGGAGGTATTGGGGTGAGGTACCTTCAAGTGTCCTTCTGCATTGCTCCAAACAGGTTTGTTTTGGATGAGGGATAGAAAAGACTGCACACARTGTTCATGTGAACTTTAGTGGAAGAGAAGTTGCAAAAGGTTGCTTGCTTAAAACAAACTCACAAACTTAAGATTTTGGGGCAATGTAAAAATGTTGAAGTATGCAAGATGCAGGATGCAAAGATACATCACTTTGAAGTGTATTGGRCCAGTTTCATTTAGGTTTTGAGTGACTGAATTTGCACCCCAAAAAATTAGTCAGTATTTCTGAGGTCAATAGGATGGTTTGCAGAGTAAGGATCGTAGAATAATAAAAGCAGAATCTGACCTTAAATAATTATATTCTTGACTGGTTGAGGTATCAGAAGTTGGGTATGYACAAGAGCCTTGAGGTTCGGGGTGGGTAGGGAAGCCCATCAACTGGGTTGTATCCTAGGCATAGTTTTTAGATTCTCTTTGATGTCCAACAAAAATCTTATGGTATATTGTTGCAGGAAAACATTTTAAGTAATTTCTCTCTCCTTTTCTTCCACCTCTYCCCGTGCTTTTAGTTTACTCCTTTATTTGGAGATGAGAATTGGAACCTCAGATCTGGAGAAGTTTTAATGAAGAAAAATCACTCGGCATCTCTTGCATTTGAAGAAAATCATCTGCACCTTGTAAATTATCCAGGACATGAAGGATTGGGAGAAGAAACCCCTGTCTTCAGTGCTTCAACACATSGTTTAAATATGAATGGACAAACCTGTGATCTGGTCCTTGTGCTAGTAATTCTGGATTAATGCCAATATGAATCAGTCCTTCAAAGATGAAAAAAAGAGACAGGACTTCTCATAGTTGTGCGCCACATAGCACTGGATTTCCGTGGACCCCACTGTTTTTATGTGAAATTCGAACTGGTTGTCACCTCWCTTTGTGGCGGATTGAAGCACCAGCTGCAGGGGGAGCAGGCCAGGTGTGAAGCAGCAAGATGCTAATGTGAATGAAGATCCAGCAGAATTGCTGCTGAGCTCTGCTGACTGCAGTGTGCTTACCTGTGGGCAGTGCCTACAGCATTTACACCCTGTGTTGCATTGTCCTGTGTGCAGTAAGTGACCTTCTGCTTCATAAGGACTGATCCAGTGGTGAAATGTTTTTGCAACAGTGGGGAACAAACATTACATCCCCAAGATACTCATTGTTCCTGTTMCTTTCTGTATTTATAATTCAGTCTGTCCCATTCCTATTATGTTACTTGTTGTAGATATAGTTATTTATTGTTCAGTGCTTGCATGCTGAAACAATGCCTGCAATTGTCTTCATGTTGCAAGGGCTTGTGTGAATTGTATGTTTTGCACATATTGTGATTGCTAACTTGCTCKGCTGCACAAAGAAAGAAAACTATTGGGTAACAGTTGGAGGTGGTATGGAGAAGTGGCTTCCCAGTCAGAAATGGAAGGATTACAAGACAGGATTTTACATTACACGTGTACTCGAGCAACAAGCCATGGAGGTCATGTTCTCAGGCCACCAGCTCCCCTGGTTGCATGTGGTGTGTCTTGTAGATGGGTGTCCTTTCAACATTTCATATGTTGGTCATGCCTTTCAATTTCTGATCTGGAAATAGCCAAAGTCTCTTGCAACACTCTCTTTGTGCAGCTTCCTGATTGCAACGCAAATACTGTGGAAGAGCTTCTGGATACCAAGCCCGGATGAAGTCATTGTCCAAACTTATTTATTTATTTATTGGGTTGGAGGAGGGTTACCTACAATATAGCCACATTGTCCTGAAGGAGTGGAGAATGGTGATTCAAGAATAAAAACRAAAAAAACCTCAGCCTAGGTTAATGATGAAGTCTTAAAAAAAAAAAAGAAAAAAGAAGAAAGAGCAGCAATTTTGCACTGACTGGATTGCCTCATCCATCTGGATTTCGGATGATCATCTGAGTGGCCAGATRTCAAAGACCGAAGTGCTCTAGAAAAATTCTTATGGGGATAGAAAATGAATTTCAAACCTCTTAGCTTAAAAAAAAGAGCCCTCAAACTCTGCTGCTTTTAATTTTCCTTATCCAGGTGTGTCTTTAATCCCTTGGTTTCTCAGAAGCTTCAAATACTCCTGAGAAATCAAACTTTGATTTTTAAATAAAATAGTTTCTTATTATTCTAGTCTTTGGACAAAGATGAAGCTACTCTTTTTCTTTGGAATTTCAGAAGCTTGTGTTTCACAGGTACTTTCTTTGCCAGATCCTGTCATGAAGCTTGTATTGTATTGTGTTTTTTCTTAAATGTGTCTGGAGCCCAACTTAACTGGCRCATTCAGTAACATGGTTGGTGCGTGCTGTGGTATAAGTAAACAGCTGCATGTGTGCATGCAAAACAAAAATAGTCACATTGGTGATGCTTGCCTTTCTCTGTGACCGTGATGTAGCTGTATTTGTGAAAGCTTTGTCATCTGAAAGTGTTTACATTGGTCACTGGAAGTTTCTCTGCGCTGCCTTACATTTGATTTGCTGTTTGGAGAAGACTCTTTACATTTCAGAAATAAAGTATTTGAAGTTCTGTGAATGCTGAGAGAACAGTGATTAATCAGCAAAGTCATTTGCAGTTTTTAAAAGGGTGAGTTCCAGCTAGATGTGATAATAGTTCCACTGATTAAACTGATTCCTTGAAGTGATAGGTTAAATATTTAAACCCACAGCCTCCCTACCCATGCCCCCCCTTAGATGCCCTTTAAACAATAGGAAAACAGATTAGGATAGGTCTCCTTTCTATATCCCTGTACTTGTTCGGGTTGCCGTGTTAAAGCAAACAGCCTTGAATTTTTGTTGCCTTTCATCTTGTGGATCACTCTCAGGAGTGTGAAGGGAGCCATAAAATCAGACTTCCTGTGTTTTGCATGTCCGCTCCCCAGGCACTAGCAATTACATAAGGTACAAGGAAGTAAAGAACCAGGTCCCCAGGGGCCCCTGTGTTTGAATAAGGACGTGTAGCTTTGAGACCTCTGTTCTCCATCAAGCTGATCAGAGTCCAGAGGTGAAGTTGCTCTGCATCTAACTATTTAACTTATGAAATCTGTTTTGTAGTGCCATGCAGCTACCAAAAGTGGGGTGAATTTTCTGCAGCTGTTTCAAAGTTGTGGTCTGCTTTCAAGTCCTCAATTAATTCCTGTGTGTAGGCTGAAGGAAGCTGGAGTCAGGGTGGGCCTCTGGCTCTGCAGGAAATTCAGTAGGCTCTTGCTCTGTGAATTGTTGTGGGAATCCTGGCTAACTACTTGACCATTCCAGGCCTGCAAAACGCCCCACACTTTGAAGCAAACGCAGTTCACAGCAGAGTGCACACAAAAACCCTGGCATAAGACGGGAAGGTTCCTCTTATTTTGCAGGCTGGTTGCTGTAGAAACATGGAACAAAGGACAGCCTTCCTCTTCTGGTATAATTGTGCAGCCCCTTTTCTGTATGTCTGACACCTGTCTGAATAAGAGTGATTAGAACAGCATAATGTTCCCGTTCCTGGTCATTGAAGATGTGGTTCATGTGCTAAAAGAAAACTGCAAGTGAAGAAGTAAAATTGTCTATGTTGTTTGCTACTACATCTTGAGATTTTGTAAAACTCACTTTTTTTTTTCACAATGTGAAACTGAAGGTCAATAAATTATTAGATATTTCCTCTCCATAGAATGTTTATTTGAAGTTTTGTCTCTTCCTCCTCTCCTCACCCCTAAATGCTTTGAATCCCTTATAATGTCCTTTTTATGTCCTCTTAAAAGAAGCGCATCAGCAACATGCAATTAAATGCTTTGGTTTAAGCTTCTGCTTCAGTTGCTCTTTCCTTCCCTTTGTTCTGTTCTGCCTCTGTTACTATGATCTCTATCTCTAAGTTCAGCAGTTAAAACTCAGAGAGCCTCAAAACATTTAAGAACAGGAAATGCAAGTTTGTTGGTGCTTGCACTACAGTTCAGTTAGTGCCTGATACCWCTTGGAAGTGGAATTAGGCATCTTGAATCCTTTTTAATTATTCTCATGTCAGAAAATGCTGGCTCTGGATAAAACAGTTCAGTTGCTCTATATCCTGTACATGTGTGGTCAAACTCTTCGAACTTTTCATCTTAYATTTTTTTTGTATATGGGGTAGTGGTGTTTTTCTTAGTTTTAGGTGTTTGTTTTTTGTTTGATATTTTTCTTTTATTTATTTGGTCAAAYACTATTTAAATACTATTGATTTTCTACATTGACTTAGCACCTGTGTGACCTGAAAGTGTTGCTGAACACTGTCCAGATAGAAAACAGCAATTTTTCTAGCATTTACACTACCTCTTATTAAAACTCCTACAGCTGCCCTTTGAAAAGTCACAGGTTCCTTTGTGGTCTCTCTTTGATCAAAAGAGTTGGGCTTTCTGGTGACTTTCTGGTCTTGGTGTGTTTGAGATGTTTGCCATCAGTTTTGGCTGGGGGAGTGAGACACTTAGAGAATCTTTAAAAATGAATGATATTGGAAGACATCGGCCTTTCCAGAGAACAAGGTAAGGTTAAATCAGTTTCAGTGCTTAATGCAAGCTCTTTGTTGGACAGTAACCTCAGTCCTTTTTTTTGTTTAATTTGGATTTCACCAAGGCATGGGATGCTCAGAACAGCACTGGGCATAAACAAATCGCTGTGGAGTGCTCGCTTCTGTCATTTTAGGGCACTGGGTTACTTATTCCATCTGGTCGTGGATTTGAACTCCTTTGCTTCCAAGTTTTCTCATACTGGAGGTTTTAATATTTGTGGTGAGAATATAAAAAAAATAATATTTAGGTTAAAAACAACTGATAATCTGAACAAGATACCTGCAAGACTTTATTCATGGTAAGTATGAAAACTAAATGCTTTGAATGATTAGAAAGACATCAGCTCATTAGCATTGACTATGGCTTCATCAAGCATCCTAAGGTGATCAGCCCTGACCTGGGAAAGTCCCAAAAGCCCTGTTTATGCCAGTAAATTGAATATGCCTGGGGATGGTCTGGCATGGACAGCTGGCATGACACAGTTCTGAGCTCTTGGAGCAGCCCCTTGTCCTGGCGAGGTGGTGGCTGCATGCAAGCTGCTTGGGGCGGCTGCTGAAGCACTCTGGCTCCTGAGCCCTGCCCAGGAATACTCAGAGGAGTGCACATTTGTAGGGCCAAAGCTGTTGGGGCTGCTGAAACAATTGAGCAGAGCTGACAGTCTGTTCTGTGCCTGGGAGCACTCCCGAATGGAATTTGATACATTGCCATTGTCCCAGCTGGGACACATGAGTCCCACATTTAGGTCCCTGGTAACTGTGGGCTGATAACTGGTTGTCTGAYCTGGCATCCGTGACACAAATGCTGTTGAAGGTGGAGGAAGGAATGCAGTCTRTGAGTGACACAGACCTTGGTAAGTGGGAAGATGGGTCCTGAAGAGGTCGAGACACACTGCTTCCTCAGATGCAAGGCAGAAAGCTTTGGAKGTGCAGAGAGAGGAGGGCAGGAGTGTCCCTACTGCAGGTGAGAAATGTTTGCTGTGCCCAAAGCTCTCCTGATGTCCTGAGGGCTTTGCAGCAGGTGCGTGGTGTCTCCTGGTTTCAAAAAAAGAAAACAGAACAGAGCTCTATYAGAGACACAGCACAAGCGTGCACATGGGAACACATATGTTTGCCCAAAACCCTGGCTGGCAAACACTGAGGCAAGTCACTTTAGTTATAAAAGATCATTAGTCCCCAGTTTTACCCAGCATGGCCTCATTTTTGGCCCTTTYACCTCTTACACCCGCATAATTTACTCCCCTCCACAGTGTGAAAGACTATGAGCTGAAATGATCTGTCATCTGGGGGTGTGTATGCACATAAACCATACAGAAACATAAATATCATAGAAAAGTCATATGTTTATTCAAATTTTTACATTTATGTGTATGTGTGACTTGAAGCCAAGTACAGACTTGTTCAGTGGTAACATACACAATGTACACAAAGACCATCTGTCTTCTGTGTGTCTTTAACAGAGGTCTCTGAATTTTAAAGTGTCGTTATCTGTTAGAAACTGTACATTGAAGGATGAGAATTACTCTTAAAACAAAAAAATGGTGTGTAAGGTATGCCTGTGAATTAAAATGAGCAGCTAAATAAATTACAAATCTCTTTCATAATCACGTTTAGGCAATGCTTCTGGCCTGACAATGCTCTGACAGTCTCAGGAAACCAAACTAGGCAATGTGTCCTTTTTGTGTGTGTGTGTGCCTAGTTACCCTAGAAACCATAATCTCTATCTCTGAAGCAATGGGGAGCTATGAAGGAGGCAAAGCCACGGGAGTTTCTTCCAAGACTCCTCCTAATCCTTCTCTTATGTTATCAGACATTCAGTAAATTACTTAGCTCTTGGTATTAGATGAAGTTCRTTAGATATTTTGTAATCACTCTGGAATTTGTGGGTCATAGTCCATGCTCTGATTCAGAGGTAACGTCTATGGTTGACTGTGTTACTTCATCTCAATTATTTATTTATATGAGCCAAAGTCACAAATACAAACTAAGCTCTTTCCAGGAGATTTCAACACACATCATCACGTTTCATCCCAACAACAGGTTCATTAGGGAGCAAAACCGTGTAGTCCCAGCCTCAAGCTGAGAAACTGGGGAGTGGGAGATTCACTGGAGGGTGCAACAAGAGTAGTAGCAGATCCTTTTCAGTTCTCCCAGCACCTTCTCTTAAAGGCACTGAGTGCACTGCACCAATCTGCTTTGTTAGACTGACTGAAAATCTGTTATCTCATTCATGTTGTTAATTGGTTTGAGAAGGGTTAAACTATTTACAGAGATGCTGTCTCCCAAGACTAACAGAACTAGGTCTAAAAGAAATAGGAAGGACTTGCCATCAGATAAACACAAGCAATCTGGCTTTTTACACAGCAGTGAGGCACAATAATTCTTTCAGGCAGACGGTTACTCTTTACCTAAAGAGCACTGATAGGAAGCAGACAGGTTTAGGGAACTGTTGGTAGCAGAGTATTTATACAGACTTAAAATGTTATCCTGCTCCTTGGCATCCCTCCCAGCATGGAGAGGTACTGAGCAAAATAAAGATGCATATTGGATATTTTATCCTAGAGGCAATAGCCTTTCTTTTCCATTCCAAGAATAGAAACATCTTGTCTTAAAACACTTAGAAGGACTGTTTTAAAGTCTGGGGATGTCTATAAAGGGACTCAGGTAGTGTGGGCTTCCTCCTAGGGTGAATGACTGGCTGGAGTGGCTTGGTTCAGGGTTTGGGAAGCAGCTGTGAGASGAGGCTAGTGGGTCAGTGGAACTGTCCTTGAGTAGACAGGATAGTGGTCCAGCTTTCATTTTTGTGGGAAAGTATCCTTTACTTTCTCTCATCCCATCTTTGCTCTTCTCGTCCATACCTATGTGAATTGCTCATAGATGTGTTGCCCCAGCCCTTTCAGTCAGACAGGGAGCTCTGAATTAGGAGAAAGGGAGGTGAAAAGCTTTTGAAGGCACTTACTTACATGTTGGCACTGAGTGTGGTCCAGGAGCTATATACATGGCCTGATAATCCTGCAGAGTGTCTGCCTTTGTCCTGCTCTACCTGTACGGCTCAGCCACACAGCTTGTAGCTATTAGCTGTTTGCAGCCCTGTGTGGCACAGACCTGTGTTCAGCCATTCCTGGTTAACGTGTAAAAACCCCTGAAAATACTTGTGTGAAAAGGCAGCAGCTGATGTGATGTATTAGCCAGGGCTTGGCTGGCCATAAAAGGGTTAATCATCAGTGCTGATGTATGTCCTCTGTGTGTCCTCTTCTAGCTGAAGCATGCTTTTCTTCTTCRATGCTCTGGACCAGCTGGGTGGATGCAGATGCTCTCAGAGGGGACTGCCTCGCCTGATCATGGATGTCCAAACACCTTCCTGGATACCGGGGGTGCTTTATGTTTGGACTTATTGGCTACTTTGCATTTTCAGCAAAATAATTCGAGTTGGTATGAGCAAATCTTTCTCCCCCACCTCCCACCCAGGTGAAAATACCACCCCTTTGGTCACAGAGTAGGGAATTCTGTCTTTCATTACCAGGTGCTTTTTTCAGATTTATTTCCTAGTCTTCTAGCGATGGATGTTTGGCTTACTTGATTTTCTATACAAAAATGGAACTTCTTTTTTCCAAAGTGTTTTTCCAAACCTACCTGTTTGTGTCCTCCTGGCCACAGCATTGTGATGAGCTGGGCACTGGGAGATGAAGGGACTTCTGCTCGGTTAAAAACATCTCTTTGTGGGAGATGCTTTGGTTTTCCACAGGGATGGTGGTGTTGATAGAAAAAATGGTCAGAGTGGCACCTTGAGAAACATAGGAAGTTTATTCCAGTTGTAGCAGACTGAATGCATGTCTTCCAATATGCCAGAGGAAGCATGTGCTGGAAAGATATTGTGGGGTTTCTTCAGTGCCCACAATTGGTGGACTTGGGCAAGATTGCAGGGGAAAAAAAGTAGAATTTTTCTGTCATGCACTCTTCCTCCAAGGAAATATGGTATTTGTGGTCATAGTGCATTTGGGTTTCTACTTAAGAATCATTTTATCTGACAAGTAATTATCTACAGTAGAATAGATACATATCTATGGTAATATATAAACTTACTGATCAATAGCCCATGCACATCTATGGTCCCTTGTGCTGTCATGAAAGGGTAGAGCACTCACCTCAAGCCTCATGCAAGGTCATGTTGAGCTGCTGCTGGGTGTTTCTTGCCTGAGACCACAGGCAGTAACTGGGGACGTGCCCCTGGATCCTGACTTTACACTGAGGATCAGGTAATT